GAAGGTACGAGTTTTTTTTGTAAGAAAAAAAAATAAAGAGACAAAAATAATAAATGGTAAAGAAAGTTACTCCACAAAAAAAAAAAAAAAAAAGAATCACAAACAGGACAAAAAGAGTAACATTATCAGCACAAGTGTTGAATTTGTACCAAAAAGGGATGAAGGTGGTGGTGAGGTTGGGGGGAGTTGGGGAAGGGGGGAGGGGGAAGGGGGGTGTTTGTTGTTGGTTTTAATGACTGAGTCAGCTTTAAGAGCCGGAAAGGTTTCTGACACACGCTTTGTGGATAATCTTATGTACTGGAATTCCAATTATTCACCCCCAAACACCTGAATAAAAAGGCTAATTTTGGAGCTGAATGCTGTTTTGTTCGTTCCCGTGTTTTCTGCTTCGCACATCAAACGTCAAACGTGAATGCAAAGCTCTGACGCTGGAGACTCCTTCCATAAATGCTTCAGAAAACTTCAAATTCGCACAATTTTAATATAAACCTGTTATTTGAATCATAGGCCAGAGCTATTGCCAAAGCTGCTGTTACAGAAAAACAATCAACACCTTCTAACCAATCAACTTTGGGAATTCAACAACACTATGGTATACTAGAGATTAAATGATTCACATTATTACATTGCAACACAGAAATAAGGGTTTGGTTTTGCCACAGGATTTCTCATAGACTACAGAATTGTCAGCCATCAGCTGCTCACTGGGGAATTCTGGGAAATGTTGACTCATTTTTTCACTAACATTTTGGGAAGCTGTGGGGGTTCTTTTCTGTGTTGGGGTTCTCAGGGTTAAATTGGTCCAAAGGACTCAGTCGTCATCTTCGTTTTTATCATTTTGGTCTGTGACTCAGCCCTCGAAAAACGGTGGGTCATGGAAACTTCTGTTCTTACGGACCTTTTGGTCACAGCATGTAACACTCGAGGCCACTGACTCATGGGAGGTTTTACAGGGCTCCTCTTAGATCTGAGCTGGAAATAACAAAAGCAGTCATCAAAAGACAGAGTCTGTTCAAATAACAGTATACAGCAGCTGGTTGCTTCTCGATGAAAAATAACTTCACTGCCAAATATAAGAGTCCCAAAGACAAGAAAGAGGTATAAAATTAATGTATGAATCAGATACATATTCTCTGTAGTTCACTAGGGCTGAAACTAGCCACTGGAGCTAGTGTAATTTGTTTCAGGAAAAGAAAAATATTGCCACTTGTCCCCTTCAGTTCATCTGATTGATCAATGTTTATCCTATAATGAAACATTTCTCTCCGGATGACCTATTGTGGTCTCTTCCAGGATGAATCCGCTCCCATCCACAGGGCACGAGGGCTCACTGAATGGTTTGATGAGGATGAAAAACCATATGCTATGACATTCATATTCACCAGATCTTCACCCAATTGAACACCAATGGGAGTGAAAGTGTTCTCCACCACAATCATCAAAACACCAGCTGAGGGGATATCTTTTGGAAGAAGGATGTTCATTGTGCCAGTACAGTTCCAAAGACTTGTAGAATTTATGCCAAGGTGCCTTGAAGCTGTTCTAGAAGTGCATCGTGGCTCAACTCCTTATTAATACACCTTATTAATACACTCCTTATTAATGTTGGTTTTTCCATTGATTTATCTTAGTCAGTGCCTATTTCCACCCATTAGCTAGCTCTCCTAAAGACTAACATCTGAATCTTTTTGAGTTACTGAACACACTTGAAGAGGCACCCACTGGCATCTTCAACAGAAAACAATGATTGACCACTCAAGAAAAAAAAAAGGCAAATAAATAATGTATAAATAATCTTATATATAGTGAAAAGTTTTGCATGGGTTTTTAACTGAGAAAAAAATCCAAGAAGATGAATATTTGACAGTGTGGGTGTATCATACAACGTCTAAACTCCAAATCATAGACCAAATAAAAGAAGTCATAATGCAGTAGAAAAATTAACCTAAACTTCTTGCAAGTTCAGCAACAATAACAACAAGCGTGAATTTAGTTGCTGTCAGGTTCTAAAGGCCAAACTATTCGAGGGCTGACCAGGGTGCTCGACGGATCTTTACCAATATGCAACAAACACATTTATACATTAATTATTAATATTCGTTTAGTTGTAAAGGCTTTTATGTGACTGTGCAGGTTTTTGGTCATTTGTGTAGGCAGAATCTGTCAGAATAAATAATAGAAGAGATTTAGGCTTGCACAGGGGGGCAAACACTGGCACTGAAGACATAAATCAGTGAAATAAAACTGTACTGAGAAACACATTCGCTGTATAAAACTTTGGGTTGTAATAAATTGACACAACGCAAAGACCCACAATGATATGAAGTCATATGGACGTTTCAACAAAAAGAAATGGGCTATCAAAGCCTTTCAAACATAAAAAGACATCAATATAAGTTTTCATTTTTTTGGTATCCATATCAGATTATTTGCTGTTAACAAATGCCTTAAGGTGGATTATTTTGGGCTTTTGTGAAAGCAAGCGCAACGGCGCCACCAATGGTTGTAAGAAAAATACACAATGGTATGATGAAGTGAGGCTGATTTTGTTCTAGCCCAGACTGTACACCATTTGTTTCAGGTGATTGCACAGTAATCACAAATGCAGCAGCCTATCTGCCTTTAGCTACTGATAGATTTCATATTTTAGCCTCACATCTAATATCACCACCAGCTGTCACATGATTTCGAGCGCTATTACCATCTACATCAACCACTTATCTTATCCCAGGCCTAATAATAAGGCTAAGAGATTGTGAACTACACACATAATGTACACACCAAAGCTTCTCGCAAATAACTGTGGCGTTTAATTAGTCCTTGTCATTCACTTCCATTAGAGAAGAAAGCTGTAGATTATGGAGACCTTGAAGAATTGCCTTTTTTAAAGGAGGTACAATCTCCAATTGTTTACCAACTTAACCTGCTGCAGTAAATGAAATATTAGTATTGAATTCTCTCATGCATTTAATTTGCTGTCAGCAGGCCCGGCTTACAGACTGGTGATTTTATTCCTTCCTACTTAGGCTTCTAAATAGACATCAAGTTGTTATGTAATCTTTATGCATTTAAGAACCACCTAATTTTCATGTTTTGCTTAATATTTCTGTTGTGAAATGATCTCTTTTATTGGCTACAGGACAATGACTTTATATAATATTTATATATCATATAGCACAATATGGCATACCACTCCTTCTGTACATTTTTGACTAGCGTTGACCAGATCCTAACATTATACCATCAACCATAGTTATGTCAGAACAAGAAAGCCGTTATTGTCATATTACAGTACTGTAAAATTCTTCTTTGTATCTCTTAGCTTGTTAGGAAGCTGGGGTCAGAGTGCAGAGTCAGCCATTATATGGCACCCCTGGGGCAGAGAGGGTTCATGGCCTTGCTCAAGGTTTCGATAGTGGCAGCTTGGCAGATCTGGAGCTTAAACTCATGACTTTCTGATGAGTAACCCATAGCCTTAACCACTGAGCCATCACTGCCCGAAAGTGGCTTGGTCTCTGGGTGGACGTGAACCACGATCCGTTCAGTTAACAGCCGAACACACTAACTAATTATGCCACAGATACCTAAATGACTATGACTACCAATAGACTTGATACACATGCACACAAATGCAACCCTGTTCCAAAATACCTGATGTTTTGGGAAGGTGGGAGGAAACTAGAGAAACCAAAAGAAACCTACATGGACATGGGGAGAACATGTCGAGAACCCTTGAGGCAGCAATGCTGACCCTCTATGCCTCCATGTAGATTGATTGAAAACTTGTTCTTATCCTATTTATCTGATATCGGTGTCAAGAACATATAGCATAATAATATAAGCAGGTTGGTTACCCACTGAGGAAGTAGAGGAAGTAGAAATATCAGCAATTCCAACATAACATTATAACATATTACTGCCTTTTAAATAAACTCAAAACAGATTCAGGATTCAGTTTCACTGGATTCCTTTTCAGTTCCGTATTCATACATACTTTCCAAGGCTCCACTTTAACTTTAAAGTTTGAGAAATTTCATTTTTTCTGTGTACTTTCCTTTTGAAAAGGGGCACTGTGTATAAAAAAGGGGAATGTGACCCCTGGATCTGTATAACTATCTCCTAAAGCTAAAATTCCACACCTCACCAATTGACCTGATTCATGTCCTAAATATACTATCTACAGAGTTTCAGAAGAGTGAAATGTGAGACGTCTGTCTGATATGTCATGTTTATGTTGAAACAACCTCATACATCCCTAAATAGTAACCGCATGTCTTTTCTTGGTTTGTCATGAAATTGAGCAGTACAAGTCTTGACCACAATGTAATGTTCTTTTAGCACTAAAAAGTAAATTTCCATTTCGGATGACTTTCTGACTTCCTCGGCAGTTCTCACTCTCCCACGCCATTGTGCAGCTGAACAGATTTCCTCCGCTGCACATCATAATTTAGCTAAAAGCCAGACAGTGGATCAGTCCTGCACTGATTACACAAAAGAAGGCCTGTATTATAATGTGTGTGTAGAGAAAAGCAGGACACGGGTACTTCTTTCCTGTCTGTTCGCTCTACTGTTAGTCCATTCATACAGATTGCTGCGAGGCAGAGCTGACAAGCCAGATGGATATAACTCATGAAAGAGCGGACAGCTAATATGTGAGGCTTTCTGTTATTGATTTCACTCAGAACCTGTGCCAAGGAGTCAGATTAAGGACAAGTGATTTTCTTTACACCAGTTTAGCTCTTGAGAACGGTGGACTGTGGCTCCAGTTGTACTGTATATTTATCTTTTCAGTAATGCCAAGATGAATCACAATGGTTGCTTGAATGGTTATGAAGGACATTTAAGAGTTGTGTAAATATTTGAACCCCTTCAATATATAATAATTGTATGAATAATGCTGCCTTCAAGTCCTCCACCGAACTTCATACTTCACAAATCCAAAGTTGTAAACATGACATGATGTGTGTTTGAGTGGTTTTTGGTAGAAACAAATCAATGGGGAAAAAATCTTTAAAATTGTACAGTTAACTTACAAAACAAAAACCTGAACAACTCTTACCATTATCTGTCCCTGCATGCAAAACTAAAGCACAAGCAGGCATGCTGTTGTAGGAAAATAATCAATGACGCAATGTTGATTATTTTCCTATAACAGCACATCCCAAAACATTTTATTTCTCTTATACCACAACAAATTCTCAACGATTACAATCTTCAGTTTATTAAAGAATGACACATCGTACTTTGTATCCATTTAGAGTTACATTTACAGCTTTACTGCTGACTGTTACTAAGCACTGACACTGGAGACTCCTTTCATAAATGTTAAATAAACATCTCCTTACTGAAAAATTTCACCATATCAACAATTACATGCATTTTTTAAATCGGTTTATGTGCTGCATCCACAATGCACGTTAAGTTGTGTAAGAAAATGAATCAACACCTTCTGACCAATCAGATTGAAGGATTCAGCAACACTGTGATGTAACCACGTATATTAACGTTATGAATTTCATGGACATTTAAAACAGGATATATTACTTCAATTTAATACAACACATTTTTCAATAAATGCCACTCTCTACCCTTTCACCAACTTAACCTCCGATAGTAAATGAATTATTAGTGTTATATCCTCTCAAGCATTTAATTGGCTGTCAGAGGCCATGCTTACAGGCTGGTGAACTTTATGAATGTATTACTTCCTACTTATGCTTTGAAATAGATGTCAAGTGGTTTTATAACCCTTAGCTCTTAGAATTCAACCAATTATTCTGTTGCTAACTACAACTTTTCAGGATAACGATGACCTGTCTTGTACTTGTGCACAGCTGTGCCATGTTTCCAGTGAATGATCAAAGCATGCATTGTATGGATATTAAGACATAGCTATAGAATAGACAAAGGCTGTAAATGCATAAAGCCCCAGGCACTGAGGAAGTAAAAAAAACTCCATGTCAAATGTCAAAAGTCTTGTTTTGTGGAATCCCCCTAAAACCGCAAGTGTATGTGTTTGTTACAATGAATGTATACTGTAAAAATAAATGAACACGTTACCTATCAGAAAGTGAAAAAAAGTGTAATAGGAAAAAGGGAAAGATGAAGCATGACTGTAGTAAGTGGTGGAAATAATGATGAATGAATTAAATATTAATCCTCTTTCATCGACACGCTGTTCTCTACTTTGCTTAATGGTTTCCTACATTACCCACAATGCTGTCTGACTCTCTGCGGATAGTGGTCCAGTGGAATTTAGCCCTCTCTTCATCTCTACTTAGAGAGTGATGCGGCGGCACTTTAGTTATTTAGTCTTCCCAGCTCTTGAAACTCCTCATCTGTACACTCTGTTCAAACAGATCAGCTTCCAAAGCTTCAGCTTTCATACTGATACCACTGTCAACACCATCAGGCTCGTAGATCTCATAGCTCTCGTAGATCTCCCACTAGCCAAGCAGTTTTTGCCATAACTCAGTGGAACTGTATCTTATATGTAGCAGCATTGCTTTCTGTGACTTTGAGGCCAATATTTGTGTTTAGGAACCAACAATGAAACCTGATTTTATGACTATATTTGAGATTGTTGTTTTTTTTCCTCTATCAACCACCAATGTAACTGCGTTAGCAATGGCAATGTGACATCAGAGTGAAACACCTCTCCCAGGAATAACAAAAATACAGCATCAACCAACAAATTCACACCAGAAACACTTAACACACCACAAACATTTCCATATCAACATATCTATTGGGTTTCAGGATGGAGTTAAGCTTATATCCACTGCAGGGTGTGTGTTGATGCACAGTTTGCTACGTGCTATAAATCACACTGAGTGACACTTTAAACTAACTGCAGCCAGCGTATGCCATCATATTCCACTTTTAAACTGAATTTAGTTTCATAACATGCTCATGAGGCGGTGAGTAAGGCACAGCATGTTTAACAAGCTAAGTTAACCGTCTTCTTACTGTCACACACTCTGCATACAGATGATGGGTGACGAAATCACTTCGGCTACGCCGCCGTTTTCCTATGAAGAGGTTTATGGGAATTTACACCTTGTAATGAACGTTTAATTAATTACAGTCCGATACAGAATTGATTTTAAAATCCTACTTTTTGTTTTTAAAGCTTTGAATGGACTGGCACTGAATTATCTGTCTGACCTTGTGAGTGCAAATACATCTGTTGGACGTCTAAGGTCATCTGATCAGAGATTATTGATGGTTCCTAGGTCTAGACTGAAGTCGAAGCCCAGTGACCGTGCTTTTGCTATTGCCGGACCCAAACTGTGGAATAGTTTACCCTTATCTCTTAGAGAAATTTCGACAGAATGAGAATTTAAATCAAAGTTAAAAACTTATCTTTTTGCGCAGGCTTACAATTGTTCTTAGAGTCTAAAGGTGTAAATTTATAAATGTACTTTGATGTACCTCTTTATCTTGCATTGCGGTTTGTACAGCATAGCTAGATTGATGTATTTTTGTGATGTTTCTTTTATTATGGTTGTACAGCACAGTGGTCAACTACTGCTGTTTTTATAAAACTAGAAATAGATTGATTGATTGGTTTAATCCAACTCAAATTCCACCCTGTTTGCTGCATACCTTTCAAAAGCTCAGAACAACACTCAGACTAACTGCTGTATGAGATGTACACAAAAAAGTTTCTCAGTTTGTACAGCATGAAGGAAAAATTCTCTTCCTTTCTCAACACTGAATATTTACACAGGGTTAAAAATATCGCATGGAGACATAATAGCACTGAGACACATAGCCATGATATGCTGATGAGGCTGCGTCTTTTTGTCTTAAACTGAGACATTTGGAAAATAAACTGTGGTGTGTGTCATGAATCACAGCAATCGCACAGCAAGCAAAGCAAGATTCTCACAATCTGTAGGAAGTCACACTTTCCCCGCAACTGCTAAACATGGATTTACTATTCATAATGTGTTATTTATAATACAGATTTTTAAGATTTGCTCAAATATTGAGTTTCACTCCAACAAGCAAGCAGTTGCAGGAGAAAAATGTTAATAATTTGTCTCACTTGGTAGAATGTGTTATCTCGGCTATTTTTACATTACATCCAGGATGATGGTGAAGCCTGAACACTATCAAAGGAGCCATTTTAGGTTTACCTGTACGAGTGAATTCACGACTATGGTGCCATTTAACCCTCTTAAAAATTCAACTTTATCATTTAATCTAAGAAAACATGTAGTCAACCATTCAAAAAGTCACAAAAACTTTCTTTTGCATGTTTTATTTGTTAATTTGTTTTTAAATGTAACAGGGATGACAATTATTTTAAGCATAGATTTAGCGAAATGGTTAACTAGCATGGACCTTAATCTTTTTTTTTTTTTTTTTTTTTTTTTTGTTAAATAATAATTTACTTTCAGACTATAATTTGGGTGACTGGTTTATACTTTCAAAGTGACCTCATCAGTTAATATCACAAAAATATATATATATATACATTAAGAGCCGGGGGGTGAAAACTTTTGAACAGAATGGAGATGTGTAAATTTTTCTTATTTTGCCTAAATATCGTATTTTTTCATTTAGTACTGCCCTT